TAGTTTGCATTGAAAAGTCAGCTGTGATCCTAATGGGTTTTCCTTTATGTGCAATTTGTTGTTTCTCTTTTGCAGCTTTCAGAATTTTCTCTTTGTTTTGTGTATGTAGTGTTTTTACTATGATGTGCTCTGGAGAATTTCTTTTCTGATCCCGTCTGTTTGGTGTTCTATATGCTTCTTTAAAAATCAGTAACCTGCCACTTTACTGAAAGTGTTAATCATTTTTAGGAGTTTTCTGGTGGAATTTTTGGCATCTCTTAGGTATAATATCATATCATCTGCAAAAAAGGATAATTTGATCTCTTCTTTTCCAATTATTATTCCTTTAATTTCCTGCTTTTATTGCTCTTGCTAAATTTTTCATAATCTTTGCTTGAGTAGTCTAGTTCGCCCACTTTATCTTCCAGTCTTGATACTCTGTTTTCCATTTCGTTCATCCTATTGGTGAGGCTTTCTCCTGTTGTTTCTAATTGGCTTACTGAGTGTTTCACTTCCTTCTACGTTTCAGCCTAAGTAGTCTTCAATAATTCTCTTTTCTGAATTCATTCAGAAGTTTATCCCTATCTTCCTTAAGTTCTTTGGTTTCTTTGTGTTCTTTAAATTAACTGAATTCTTTTATCATGTTTATAATTGTTCTTTTGAGTTCCATGTCCTGCATTATCTCTAGGGGGTTCTCATTGTACTCCTCTAGAGGACTATTGGTATTTGGTGGGGATATGTTATTTTGGTTTCTCATGTTATTTTTTCTCTGTGATTTTGACATGTGAATTTCTTTTGTAGTTTCTGATTCTTGTGTGACCTGAAGCCTTCAAGTTTAGGTCTGCTACTTTTTATAAACTTTATGTGTATTTGTGGTTTACTTTTTGGGCATGAAAACCTGGTTTGTCTAAGCTTCTGGTTCTGGTCAGATTGCTTTTGTCTTTAGGAGTTCCCACAGGCCCAAGTCAGATGAGGATCAAATGCTCTCAGGCTTTCTCCTAAGGTCTGGATCCCTCCAGGATAGATTTTGGCCTCAGGAATTTGGGGGTTGGACTGGCCTGGGAGCCGGGCCAGGAAAGATGCTGGTCTAGGGCAGCTGGTGGCCGTGTTACCCAGAGATGCAAAGGAAGATGGGGGCAGGAGGTGGCCCCAAGGCCCCCTGGGCACTGCACTGAGGAGCTGGGTTGGTCTGGATGCAAAGGACCAGGAAGAGAAAAGGTCAGCCCTGGCATCCAGGAAAGAGGCTAGCGGGTTGTGCAGACCCAGGGAGGCAGAGGGAAGTGAGGTTGGGGCTAGGCCCAGAGTGCCCCTGGGGACCGGAGAAGGAACCGAGTCAGTCTGGGTGCACCCCAGGTGTCTGGGGCACCAAGACAAGGAATGGGACAGGACCCAGGCAAGGAGGAGAGACCAGCGGGTGAGATGGGAGGGTGAACGAGGCTGGGGGGAGTCAAGGCGCGGAGGGCCCTACCGACCTACCCGGAGAGAGAGGCCTGCCAGTCGGAGAGAGGCCTGTGGGTAGCGCAGGCCCAGGGAAGCAGCAATACTACATATTTTTAAAAGGAGCATTTAGACTGCGAAGCTAGCACATTGATACAGCATGGAAAAGATCACAATGGGAACTAGAGAGATGGCTCAGTGATTAAAAGCACGGGCCCTTCTTGCTTAGGACCTGGGTTTGGTTCCCAGCACCCACATGGCAGCTAATAACTGTCCATCTCTCTAGCTCTAGGGACCCAACATCCTCTTCTGGCCTCCGTGGGTAGTGTACCATGTGAGTGCACTTGCATACATGCAGGCAAAACACTCATAACACATAAAATAAAAAATTTTTTTGAATTAAAAAAAGTATTGGCTGGGTATGGTGGCACAGATCTTTAATCCTAGCACTCAGAATGTGGAGGCAGGCAGATCTGTGTGAGATCAAAGCCAGTCTGGTCTACATAGCAAGTTCAGGCCAGCTGGAGCTACAGGGAGACCCTGTCTCTGAAAAAAAAAAAAAGTATTGATGCTCAGTGACAAAGAACAGAAAAACACTATAAAACAGATTAAAAAGAACTTATTAATCTTCCTCAGATTCATTTTTGCTATGCAAATAAATTTACAACTCTAAAACTCTTGTTATAATCCTTAATTGACCTGATCTAATCCCAAAAAGATTATGTAAAAAGTTATTCTAACACCATCTGGTGGCAAACACAGCAACAACAGGCCTTTTAATTCACTTACTCATTCATCAACTATTCAATAGGCATCTACTAGACCCATAGTCTTTAAATTGCTCTAGGAATAAAGGAAATAAAGTATTCCCTAAAACAGGATCCCGACCTTCAAGAACAAAATCTACAGTTAAATTATGATTGTGAGAAATATAAGAAAAGGCTAGGGATGGGGCTCGGGGGGAGCTTGCTTAGCATGCTTAAGGATCTAGGGTCAATCTCCAGCAAAATGTACACACACACACACACACACACACACACACACACACACACACGAGTCTGCCCTTATTTGCTTAAACTCTCCAGGCAAGAAGTTCTCAGGAGTGTACTTGTAAACAGTCTGTGGGTACCATATCCATACACAGCTTTCAAGGAAATGAGCCATAGTGCTCTTCAAGTGTCCTCAAATTCTTAAAAGTTCTTCAAAGGGCAGAGCCTAATTTTCCTTTCCCTGAAACTGAGCTGGGCATAAAGACTCTCTTATAATGAGGAGACTGTCATAAGCAGTGGTGTATAGCAGCAGCTACATCATACAGGGCGCCATCGCTTGCATCTCGCCTTCTTTTGGACCACTCACCCTGAGGGAAGTCGGCCAGTATGTCATGAGGGATTCAAGCAGACTATAAAGACCCCACTTGAGGAGGAATCACCAAAAACCAACATTAGCCTTCCAGTCATGTGAGTGAGCCCCCTAGAAAACAGATCCTCCAACTGCCTCAAGCCATGGTTGATACAGCCCTTGCCAAGAGTACTAAGTTTAGCCATTCCCAAAGAAACTAAGAAGTCAATAAGTGTTTATTGTTGCTTTATGCCACTTGGTTTTAGGATAATTCATTATGCAATAACATTAACTAATATAATAATCCATCACTCCCTAGAACCAATTTTACCAATAGTAGGAAACAAAAACAGCTCACTAGAGTTTCATAATATTATTTGCTCAAATATTAATAAAATTTAATCACTAATAATATGCTAAGTGGTGATCCTTTTCACTCATTGTTTCATAATACTGTTTTATATGATTCATCTCTTTGTTCATATTAGTGTTCATGTGTGTGTGCACATGTGCAGGTGTGTGTTCATATGTGTAGAGGCCAGAGATCAGGATTGGATGTCTTCCTCTATTTCTCTTCACCTTATGTTTGGAGACAGGGTCTATCCCAAAGAACCTGCAGCTTACTGATACAGCTCCTTCCCACCAGCACTGGTGTTACAGACACACACCACAGCACTTGGCTTTTACATGGTAGCTGAAGATCCCAACTCAGGTCTTCACGCTTATGCAGCACTGAGTCATCTCTCCAGTCCCAATATTCATCTTTCTCAATTAAGACACAGGGTATTCTAAGGGGAAATGAAACATTCCATGCTGCAGGGAAGCTCCTTAAACTCAGGAAGTAAATAACTCAAAGGCTTTAAGAAGTCTCTGAAACTGACCGGATACCTCAGGCCCCTCTCTCCCAAGTGGACATCAGTAGTAAGGACTGTGGAGAGACAATCTCAGACCAGTCAAGCTACCCAAAAGACTCTCAGACAAGCTGAGCTGTCTAGAAGAGGCTCAAACCAGCTGAGTCACCTGGAAAAAGCAGAGACCAGCCAAGCTGCCTGGGAGAGACAGAGACAAACTACCAGAAAGAAACAGAGACCAGCCAAGTGCCTGGGAGAGACAGAGACAAACCACCAGTAAGAAGCAGAGACCAGCCAAGTGCCTGGAAGATGCTCAAACCAATTAAGCTGCGGGTAAAAGACACTCTCCAACCTGTCAACCTGCCCGCAGGGTGTACAGTGAGATCCAGGTTTCCAGCTTCCATGAGCTTTTGGTGATACAGCTTTCTTTGAGTTATTCCTGCTCCTGTCAGTAACCCCTCACCCATACCTGTGTGAGTAACCCAATAAAACTCACTGGTTCACCAAGTTGGTTTTTGGTGGTATACTTACTTTGGTCTGTCAACGGTCCCTATCTAAGGTGAGTAGATATTTGTTCATGTCTCCTCAGGAACAACAATTTGCAAAGCAACTATACTAGCACTGGCTGAAGGACTATAGCATTTGAAGTACTTGAAATTTAATTCACTTAGTTTTCGTGAAATAGTTTATGTTTCTTTTTTTTTTTTTTTTTGGTTTTTTTGAGACAGGGTCTCCCTGTAGCCCCAGCTGTCCTAGAACTCACTATGTAGACCAGGCTGGCCTTGAACTCACAGAGATCCGCCTGACTCTGCCTCCTGAGTGCTGGCATTAAAGGCATGTGCCACACCTGGCTAGTTTATGTTTCTTAACTGAACATTTCCTCCAGGCTATGAGGATTACAGGTTAACAGAAGAAAGCATTGGAAGTTTTCCTTTACCTCTGTGAGAGATCCACAAGCCACACCACCATGCAGGGTTTCATCCAAAGCAGAAAGGGTAGTAGAGAGAAATGCTGGCGAAAAATCAGCAGATCTTCGTGTCTTTATCTCATAAGCCTGAATAAGAAAAGGATGAAGCTCTTTTTAGCCTGCAAATTTATTAAAAAAATAGGCCAAGTCCTGACCTCTGACCTTTAGCAGCTATAATCACAATCCATCCTTTTTCCTTCTAGAATTTATTTGTCTGAATATTTACTCAGTGCCAATGCCATGTTAAATTCTAGGGATGTAATCGAATGAACAGCCTCCATGCTCACAGGCTAATCATCAGCCAAGGCCTATGAAATTAGGACCAGACACTAGGTGACTACAGCATGGTTAATAAGAGATGAAGATATAGGAACACTACACCTGATCTAGACCTTATGGTCTAGGAGGGTTTCATTGAAAAGCCAGATGTCTAGGCTCTAAAATCTTAATTCATTGGGGTTAGAGAGATGGCTCAGCAGTTAAGAGCACTGGCTGCTCTTCCAGAGGACCCATGTTTGATTCCCAGCACCCACATGTCAGCTAACAACTGTCCATAACTCCAGTTCCAGGGGCTCCAATGCCCTCTTCTGGCTTCTGCAGGCATTTGCACAACATAGGTACACTTACATACATGCAGGCAAAACACTCATACACATAAAATAAAAACAAACAAATAAATAAAATCTAAATTCATTGTTGGATAAGCAAAAGATGTGAACATTCCTGTCAAAGAGGAAAAAATGTGAAAGACAAGTCAAGAAGAAGCAAGAAAGAGAGGAAAAGGCAACTAACAAGAACTGAACAAGAAAACACAGTTCACTAGGATGGCTGGAAGGCCGGCTGGGATGGCAGTAGAGCAAGTGGCAAGGCTGGAGAAGGAAGCAAGGGCCTCAGCACCAAGAGCACTGTGAGAGGGAGCAATATGAACACATGGTCTTTTCAATCTCACATTGGTTTGTGAAGAACACCTTGAAGGATGCAGAGAGGTGAGAGATGGCCCCTAAACGATAACCACATCAGATCCCTGGAACCTGGCTATGAATGCCACCATATTTGGAGAAGGGACTTCTGCAGATGTGATTAAGCAAAAGACCTTGTGATGAGGAAATAATCCCAGATTATCAGAGCAGACCACAAACGCCATCAAAAGTATGATTACAAGACAGAGGCAAAGGCAGATTCAATAAAGGAAAATGGAAAATGGGATGTGAAGATAGAGCAGAGAGGGAAGTGGCCACAAGCCAAGGAATGATGACCTTCCTCAGCATCTGGAAGAAACTAGGCAAGGATTCTCCCCTAGACATGCTGGAGAGGGTGCAGCTGTGCCCAAACCAGAACTGTGAGAGGACAATTTCCACTTGTGTGAAGCCACCAGTTTGTGGAAAATATAACAAATTATTGAATTTTGAAGAGCTACTCAGGTTGGCTTAGAAGACTAGCTTGAAGATGGGTAATACTGGAAGCTAAGAGACTTATCAGGAAGCTACTGCCACCATTCCAAAGGAAGATCATGGTGGCTCAGGGAGGATAGCAGAAGCCAGAAAACAATGCAGGGTACTTGGGACTGGCACATAACACAGCTGATGGGATTTTAACATGACAATTCTTTGTCTTCTTCATTTTCAAAACAGCATCAAAAAGTGAGTATATTTGTCACACTCCGCTAATAATAGAACAAAAGAGTTAACAGCATAACTCTCATTACAGCATGCTCAGTGAACTGGCAATGGAGAAAGTTGGCCAAAGGCAGAGAAACTTTGTCTTATAAGAATTAAAATTAAGTTTATCCATAACCAGCTGGCATCACTAGATGCTGGACCTATGGCTAGAAATGTACAGGACAGAAACTCTAGGGATCCTCCTGATTCTTCATCTAAAGTCACAGTCAGCTATGGCCACAAAATGCCTGCACCAGTTATTCTCTGTACTAAGCAGTCTGGCACATAGGTTCCTCTGTGTGTAAGGCAGCAGTGCAGATTGTAGATCCTTGGTGATCTTTAGAGCCACTTGATACTGCTGCCCCAATTTCTAAACTTTTTGGCCATTATACACCAATTATACAAAGGATGTGCATGACATGCAGACAGTCCATCTTTGATTGTACTAAGACCAGGTTGTCTGTAATGGTAACAACCGGGAAGTGGAGAGTTGGGTCCAGCCATGTCTTATATTGAAAGGGAGAGAGTGCAGGAAGAGTGTTAGGGGGCTTCTCTTTTCTTCTTTTTTTTTTCTAGGTTTTAATCTTTCTTTTCAAGTCTCTCACCTGACAGAGTAAGCATATTTCCTAATAATTCTACCTCCTAAGTTGCTCTCATAGTAATCAATATTGCACTTTAATACCACACTAACAATCCAATTCACAATCACTTTCCGTCTAGAACATAGTCATCATCGATATCTTAGTAGTCTTTTTTTTAATATTTTCTTGCTCATTTTCAATTATTTATTTGCATTCAAAGACCTACCTTCTTTAAAAATACACTTTTATGATTTATCATTACTTTTGAAATAATGTCCAAAATTCTTAACATGGTCTACAAGGCCCTGATCCTGCTCCCCCTCTGGCTGTTCTTTGCCACTCTCTCCACTGTATTACACTGACATAGTCTAATCAAATCAGTGAACAAGCACCCTTCTCCTCACTGGGCCTTCGCACTTGCTCTTCTCAATGGCTCTTCCCAGACTACTTCTCTTCCAAATTCATTGCCTGTCTCCCCTATTCTTCCTTCACATAGTGGCTAAAGTATTGCTCTTATGGGGGAGGCTATCCTAACCTCCAAAGTAAGTAATGTCCCTTTTGTTAAGTTATACGTACTGTTTGCATCTGTGGGGCACAGGCCCTGCTGATGGTACGCAGAAGTTCCTGGACACCTCCATAACTAAGGCCAGTCATTTTCATAAGTTCCAAAGGAGAAAGACTTAAGAAGTCCTAAAAATATATAAAGAGAAATAGTTTATATATGCATATGTAACAAAGATATTAGAATTTAAAGGAAACTTTCATCACAGACTTTTTTAATTTGAAAACAAACAAATACAAAACAAAAGCAAACTTTCAGTTGTTACTGCTCATCTCTAGATAAAAAGAGTAACGTACTGCCAGGTGCGATAGCTCATGCCTTTGATCCCAGCACTCAGGAGACAGAAACAGGTGGATTTCTGTGAGTTTGAGGCCAGCCTGGTCTACACGGCAAGTTCTAAGCTAGCTGGGACTACAGGGAGACCTTGTCTCAAAAAAAGGGGAGGGGTCTACAGAGATGGCTCAGCTGTTCAGAACACTGACTGCTCTTGCAGGGGACCCAGGTTCGACTCCCAACACCCACATGGCAGCTAACAACTGTTCATAATTCCAGTTCCAGGGGACCCAGTGCCCTCTTATGACCTATATGGGTATCACACGACATGGGTGCGCGTACATGCATGCAGGTAATATACACACACATAAAAATATAATAATAATGAGAATAATAGACAAAATCGTAAAATACAACTTTGGCCCTTATTTACCCTCCTGAGAGGGATTTTCTTCATTACTGTAATTGGAAATGCAACATCTGAAAAGGAGGAAAAAAGGCAAGATATATTATATACATTTCTCAGGCTTCAGCAAAAGGAAGAGTCCAAAAACTACACTCCTGGGCTGGAGGTATAACTCAAGCTATAATCCTCAGCATTGAAGAGTAAATCATAATAATAAATTCTAGCTAATAATTATCCATGTTGAATATCATCTCCTCGGGGCTGGAGAGATGGCTCAGTGGTTAAGCATACTGGTTGTTCTTGGAGAAGACCCGGGTTCAAATCCCAGCACCCACATGGCAGCTAACAACTGTCCGTAACTCCAGCTCCAGGGGATCTGACAGCCTCTTCTGTCCTCCACAGGCATTGCATGACACAGGCGTACTTACCTACATGCAGGCAATATATGCATACACATAAAATAAAAATAAATAAAATTTTTTTAAAAAATCATCTCCTCATTAAGTTATATTTCTCATGTAACAATAAAACTTATTTTAAGCTGATAAAACTTCTCAGGAACCCCAAATGAATGGAACAGGTGCATTTTAACTTATGCAATGACCATTCTCCCCTAAAATAAAAATAGTGAAATTCATTAAATAAAATTGCATTCAGAAATGCGACATAAATAGCTTATGGAAAAGCACTACTGTTTAACTTATTTTATGTACATTTAAGTTTGTGTGTGTGTACATGCGCACTTCTTCATGTGTGTGAGAATATGAGTGCCTCTGGAGACCAGAAGTTGACAGCATATGTCTTAATTGCTCTTCACCTTATTTTCTGAGACAGTGTCTCTCACTGAAATTGTAGGTCACAATTTAGCTAGAATGGCTGACCAGCAAGTTCCGGAAATCCTCCAATTTCCACTTCCCAGCACCAGGCTTACAGGTGTGCCTGCCAGGCCGGGCTTCCTATGTGAGTGCTGGGGATCAGAGCTCAGGCCCTCATGCTTTCATGGCAAGGACTTCACTATCTGAGCTATTAAGGTATACTTAAAATTTTTACACCAAATTTATGTATGAAAAAATTACATAAACGTTACCTGACAGGTAGCAATCTGATATCTGCTCAAGCGGTCACATAGCTCTTGTGATAAACCCACTCGCCGTAGTTTCTTGTGACCCATATTTCCAGATCTTGCAGAGAAGAATCTTGAAGAAAACATCAGAAAATAACACACATTACAGTGAATGGGCCATACAATATACTCTACAAAATAAAAAGCACTTCAAGCTTCCCCATGAGTAAAACATAAGATGGAAAAATTACAAATAAAGGCAATAAAAATCTTTTTAAATGCTTTAAATAGGAGACACCTGTTTATCAACCATGCACATAGAAAAAGAAGGCAACTTCAGAATACACATTTCACACAATTCTGATATTTATTACATGAATATAATACCATTTATTTTAATTTTATTATTTTTATGTGTATGCATGTATTGCCTACAGGTAGGTAAGTACACCCGTGTCATGCAATGCCTGCGGAGGACAGGAGAGGCTGTTGGATCCCCTGGAACTGGAGTTACGGACAGTTGTTAGCTGCCATGTGGGTGCTGGGATTCAAACCCGGGTCTTCTGCAAGAACAGTCAGTGTGCTTAACCACTGAGCCATCTCTCCAGCCCCAATACCACTTCTTAGTTACATAGCATCTTAAGGTCAGTGTTTGCAATTTTATTTGGATATGTAATAAATCTTCAAGATGTGTTTCTAAATAACATCTCCATAGCATTTATTTGCTTTGCACTGTGACAATAGGTGAATTATTAGAGATCTGCTATATATCAATCACTGTTCCAGAACTTTAATATTCTCAAAACACTGTAAGGAGGGGGCTGGAGAGATGGCTCAGTGGTTAAGAGCACTGGCTGCTCTTATAGAGGACCTGGGTTCAATTCCCACACCCACATGGTGGCTAACAACCAACCCTAACTCCAGTTCCAGGGGAATCTGACACACTCTTCTGATTCCATAGGCATTCCAAGACATGGGTATACTTACACGCATGCAGACAATACACTCTTACACATAAAATAAAAATAATAAAAATTTTAAAAACAAGACTGTAAGGAAAAGTAGATCATTGCCCTCTTTTCTATATATGAGAAAACCATTCTGAAAATGTTAGCTACTTCACTGTCACCAGAAAAAAATACTAGATCTAGAATTTGACTCTGAGGCCTACCTTCTTAGCCATTATACTCTACTGTAAGACTACAAACCTTTTTTTTCTGAGACATGGTCTCTCTGTAGGCCCAACTTGCCTTGCCTGGAACTCACTATGTAGACCAGGCTGGCCTCAATCTCATGGGAGATCTGCTGCCTCTGCCTCCTGAGTGCTGAGATCAAAGATGTGTATCACCATGCCCACCAGGACTATGAATCTTATTTAAGCTTTGCTTTTTCTAAGAGCCAATAAAAAAACTTCAATCAAATGAGATTTTACTATTGCAGGTGTTATTAGTAAGAGTGTTCTTTATTACACAAACTGCTTACAGTTCCATATGCAATTAAATTCTGCTCTGCTCTTCTTGTACCTTGCTAAAATGAGACACATGAAATGTTTATCTTTGGAGTTAAAACTGTTAAAATCTCTTTAATAATGCATGCAAAGGAGAAGCTCTGTCTCATTGATATGGCAAAGTATCCCCTAGAAATACTAGGGATTCATTATTCCAGGGAATAATTATCAGTAGGAATTTGGACCAAAAAATATATACCAAGAATTAAGATATTTACAATACTATAGCCCAATTCTATTTAACACTTAAATCCCCCCCCGTGTGTGTGTGTGTGTGTGTGTGTGTGTGTGTGTGTGTGTCCTCCCTCACTCCCCACAAAAACAAAATGCATTCCTTTCATTTTTTTCTCGGTGGGAACTTATTAGGCCTGATATCTGTTTCTCCAACAGAAAATTTACCAAGTAACATCTATCTGCTGTATTATAACCTAGCGTCTGTTCAGATAAGGTGGTTCTGGGCAATCACACCACTTAAGTCAGTAAATTCAACTAGTCAAAAAACAAACAAACAAAACAAACAAACAAAAAACCTACAAACCCCAAACTACAGAGATCCTAACAATAACCACTTCTGCCACCTCTGACCTAACAGCATCGCTCAGGTCACTTAATTACTGCTTCTGGTCACTTTCCTACTCTCCCAAAATATAATAAAGATTCTCCATTTATTTGTTCCTTCCACCAATATTTCTTAAGCACATATTCTGCTAAGGATATAAGAATCTTTAAGCCTATTTTCTTCCCTTTGGCATACACACAGTTGAGCCATAAAGATACAATCGACTACAGCTATGCAGCAAGTATTCTAATTGCTATTTAAATATGCAGTGCGAGCAGACAGGAAGAATTCTCAAACTGGCCTGAAAAAAAATGGGTCCAGTGTCGCAATCCTGATAGAAGCAGCTTCCTAAGAAGTCACTTTCATTGCTTAAAATGTTTCATAGGACCATCTGACTACAGGACAACTTCTAAACTTTTTATGGTCAGTTTTTTGTTTTATTTTAGAAGGGGTCCCTTATTTAGCTCTCACTCAAATATCAGATTGCAAGGCTCAGATCCTAGCCTTCCGGCAAAGTTACTTTACCTCCCAGTGGTTTCCTCATCTGTAAAACAAGAGTGATTCTAATTTCTACTTCATAGAGCTGGCACATACTGTCACCATCCTTATCATCCATCAAACATCATCTGTTTCTCCTTATGTGACCTGCTCTCCATTCGTAAGTTTAGGTTACTCAAGCACCACCCTGCCTCCATTTCTCTACACAAAGTCCTCTAGGGTCGGCCCTTCCTTTGCGGTGTTACCACCACAATTTGTACATCTCTGCCTAATCTTATCAATGCACTATAGTTTATGTGTTTGTTTCTTCCGTGTGTGTGTGTGTGCTTCCCTATGTATTCTGCACACGAGGGAGATAGCAACCCCGAAGACCAAGCTTTCTCTCCAAGAAAAGAATCACGTTATGTTTAATGAAAATTGTGACGTAACGATAACAGCTTTTTTTTATATTATTATTATTTATTATTTATTGGGCCCTTATTACGTGCCAGACACCATTTCAAACGCTTTGGAAGTTTTCACCACACTTTACGCCTGAGGCTATTCTTGAAGCTGAGAACCATGCAAGATCAGCCAATGGCGGGGCCTGCATTCGAATCCGAATCCAAGGATCTGACTCCAGGTTCCGTGCTCTTCAACACCAGAAGTCCCTAGACTTTCTCTAATACCTGATTCTCCTGCCTAGACCCCAAACTGTCCGGGGGGGGGGGGATCAAAGGCGTCAGGCCTCACCCAGACTGCCCTTATAACAAAGGGTAGCCTCCAAGCATCACCCCACCGACAGTCCGAAGCCCCCACCCTACCTCTCCCAGACCCCGGCCGCGTTCCTGTGGAGACCCTTACGGCATACAGGGGGCGTGCCCAGCACCCAGGAAAGATTCCCCGCCACCCAGGAAGATCCGCGGGCCCTGGGAGGAAACACGAAATAATGAGCACACCCGCTTCCCCACAACTGCCCCCCACAGAAAACTCCAGTACCGGGTCAGCAGCAGCCAACTTTCAAAGTTTCCCCCACCCCTTACACGGTTCCCGCGAAAAGCCGCACACACCAACAACTAGCGCACTGGTTGGTTGTTACTATGGCTATTTATCCAATCAAAGGCTAGCAGAGGCTTTTATTGGCTCCGCGGCTTTCTGGGAATTGTAGTTCTCATTCTCCGCCTATAAACTTAATTGGACTCAGTTTCTTATTACACTGATTATCAAAACGGGTAGAGTAACATCTCAAGAGGAGTCTGAAATAAGGAAAACTTTGATTGGAAATTATTTTCCTTCTTGAACCTCATTTAAAAATTACTTAATGTGGCCGGGCGTGGTGGCGCTCGCCTTTAGTCCCAGCACTCTGGAGACAGAGGCTGGCGGATTTCTGTGAGTTTGAGGCCAGCCTGATCTACATAGTGAGTTCCTGGCCAGCTGGGGCTACAAGAAGATCATGTCTCAAAAGGCCAAAAAAAAATTACTTAATGGACCAGAGAGGCGTGTTGGGTGAACAGATGACGTTACAGTTTTTGGAAAAGAGCTTTGTGTTTTTCTTTGCTCATTTGACCGCCAGCAATATTTGGAAAATGCTGTCTGAATCTTCTCAAACTGAAATATATGGTGAGGGAACCCGAGAGTCTGTAGGTGAAAAGGAATAGGTTTAATATAAAAGCAGCTGTGTTGAGAGAAATCTACTAAACTTAAGAAGCGGATTCAGGTTGCTATATTTGCTATAGTTGCTATATATAAGCCTTTGCTTATTCTTCCCTCTCTGCAGTGCAACTCCTTTCTGTTTACCCCAGTCTTATAAATTTACCCCACGCAATACTAATTATTGATTGGCCTGCTCAGTCCCAGAAAAGGGTCCGCATCTTATTCAACAAATAGGGTCTGGCGCTTAGTTTAATGAACCAAGGTGAATGAGGAAATATATGAACGGAGTGAAGCACAATGTGAGAAATCCGACTTGACAGTTCTAGGATTAAAAAAGAGCCCAACTAGATAGAATAAGGATCCAGGAGGGTCTAGGACTCCTAACTGGACATCCCCAGCGTCTATCACTGGCACTAAGTAAATGTTGACATCGAATACTAGGAGAAAAGAGAGCGGCAGAGGAAAAAATAAATAAATAAAAAGCACAGCTATTCCCTCCCACTGAATGCAGAAGTGAAGATGGTAATGGAACGCTCATCGTTTAGAAGGATGGTCCTGATTTAACTCTTTCTTAGCTTCACCCTAGCGGTGTGACTGTATCACGTGACTCAAACAAATATGGCACTTAATTTGCATCTTCCTTCTCTTGGACCAATGGGAGTGGCGCTCTGGTTCGTCACCACCGCCCCTTTCACCACCGTTCGCTATGGGATCTGTCACCTGACTCGGCTCAAACATGGCTGCGCTGGAAGCTAAAATGTATTTGGCTCCCGGAGCAGGTGAGTGCTAAGTGCTGGGAAGAAGGTGGGGCTGGTGTCCGGACCCTGCTGGAGGGAGTATCCTAATCCCCGACCACCCAGCTCTCCTGGCGGGCCCCAGATTGATCTCTGTATCTTCCGTCCCCTGCCTTAACAGAAGGGGCAAACCAGCTGAGTTCCCTAGATGAGTTTCTCAGCCCTAGCGAGGTACCCACCTGGAGATTTGGAGCCCGACCGCACACAAATGTGCAAATGCGGAAGTAGAGTTACAGGTCTGTGCCCCGGGCTAATACAAAGATTAAGATGATTAAATATAGGATCTGCGTTCGAAGATGGGATCCACCCCTTGGAGAAAGAGACAGTTCTCAGGAGATGATAACAGATCAAATTAAACTTAATAATTAGGAAAGTTAAGTTCTGCCTTTCCCCTTCGGGGCCAGTATCTGGTGTTTTTTTTCCTAAACAGTTTCGTTTCTTCTCAATTCGTGTGTCGTTTCTAGGAGGTACTCCACGAATGAGAATGTGTTCCGCCTAACAGATCTCTTTCTATCTCCCTGCACTCTGTGCTGGGAAAATGAGTTATCCGTTTGGAAAAGAGGAAATCGCTACCGAGAAGCAGCTTTTTGAATTTTTCTGTGAGTGTCTGCGGAGGGGAGAATGGGAGTTGGCCCAGGCGTGTGTTCCTCAGCTACAGGAGGGTCGGGGGGATATCTCCAAGAAGGTGGAAGACATTCTACAGGCGCTGGTGCTGTGTCCGAATCTGCTAAGGTAAATTTCTCCCTTCCTGTCTGGAGTTCAGATCAGGAGACAGACACTGTCTCGGTATTTGCATTCTTTGTGCCCCCCTCCCCCAATCAGCTACCTTTTGAAAAGTGAGCACAGGTAGAGCACATATCAATACTCAGAATTTTTATCTGTGTAGTATACACCTATTTCATTTAATACACTCCACTGGCCTTGGATTGTCCTCTGGAGCTGAATTTAAGCCTAGCTACCAAAGGTATCTGAAACCTTTTCTTCTTTATTATCATTATAGAAGATGGTGTAACTGCATTTTGCCTCCAAAAGGCAAACATCACTCTCTCTTGCTTAGATTGAAGATGATACTTGAACAAAGGAGACTGAGAGGAGTGCATTGACTTAAAACTTTATTTTGAAATAATCGTAGACCCACAATAACAGAGTTCAGTTTACCCCTTTCCCCAGCTTCCCATGATTGTAACATCTCATGTAGCTCTAGTAAAATATGAAAACCAGGAAATTGACTACAGTAGGATTTCATTTGATTCTCACCATTGTTTAATCTATATTTAGTTTTTGCCTATAGTCCTATACATTTTTATCCATATATAGGTTTATGTAATGTCACAGTAATAAAGTTCAGAACTGTTGCATTACTACATATGAATTCTCTCATTTCGTACTTCTATAATTTATACTTGCACTGTGACCTCTCCTTGTCTCTTGGTAAACATGTTTCCCCATCCTAGATTTTTACTTCAGTTCTCTTTAGCAGTGCTATTAACTCGTGGCATAGGAGCCAAATGTACTGTTTCATTCTTTCCTGACTGTAACTCTTTGACAATAATTCTGTTGACATATTCTATTAGCACAGAAAGAACAGAGAAACAAGTAATTATCTTATTTTTTCCCTTAAATTTGGTTTCTAGGCAGTTACTGCCTAAACTATAGACTTCAAAGTAAGGCTTAGGAATTCCCTTAACTCTGATTTTTGCACATAGTTAACAATCAATTTTTATGAAATTGCTTTATTCTTTTAGATTTGATTCATTTTTTAATGTTCAAAAGTATACTTAGTGCCTGGATATGGTGATTTACATCTATAATCCCAATATTCAGAATACTGAAGCAGAAGGATTGCCATGAGTTCAAGGCCAGCCTGGAGTACACAGTGAGTTCCAGGCCAGCCTGGACTATAGTATGAGACCCTGTCCTAAAACAACAGAGGGATATTAGATAACATTCATTATTGTGACTTTCTCTGTCATAGCATACCTAAAAATAAGATTAAGCCAAGTATGATGAGGCTATGTCTGTTGCAGATACTCTGGGGCTGAAATGGGAGGATCACATGAGGCCAGGAGTTCCAGATTAGCCTATGTAATGGCAACAATCCATCTACAAAAATAAAAATAAAGTAGATTTAGGGTGGTAGATGCTATGAAAGTTATGTGGTTCTGTTTTATTGGACTGTCATAATGCAATTGAGAATTTTTCATTACAACTTGCCTGTTCTGATTTAAAATAAACTGAGTGAAATGTGAGATCTAAATCTTTGGTCACAAAAGAGAAAAGGTTAGTTGAAACTTCTTTTACAAAATCTTTCTTTTCACCCTTTTCAGATGTGGGCAGGACATCAAACCACAAATATTAGCCTGGCTCTGGCTTCTTGTATTGGAAAAATGGTTGGCCAAGGAAAAGGTCAGTGGGTTTACATTTAAATTTTTACCTGAGGCCAGGACTGAGAGAACTTAGAAGCAGTTATGGGATTTCCCTTAACTACTACTTCCTTTATTTGGGGGTTGGTCCTAGTCTTTCTCAGTTTTGGCTGTGGAAGTGATTTAAATTGCTGTTTGCTGTTTCCTTGCCTAAATTTACTCATTAATTTACCCTCATATGTTGACATATAATGTCTTTAGAAGTGATGCCATTTTGTTAAACATCACTGTAAGTCTTGCTCTCAAAGGGAACTTTGTGGTGCCCAATGAACATGACAAGACAGGCAGGGCATGGTGGCAGAGGCCTGTAATCCCAGTTACTCAAGAAGCCGAGGCAGGAGGATCACTTGTGTCCAGTTCAACCTGGACAACGTAATCACATAATGAGGCTTTGTTTCAAAAGAATTAAAGTGAGGACTATTTGACTTGAGAAATGGAGCTGAAACCAAGCTCTGACTCCCTGCGTAGTCCACCTCAATATTATGTTTTAGCCTAAATGGCCTTAAAAGTAAGAAAATCTATTTTTAAATGTCTGCCATTTAGTCTAATTTTTCCTGTGCTTACTGCTTTCAGTCATCAGATTAATTTTATCTTTAATTACATTTTTGCACATTTCTCCTTCCCATAACTATCAGAGAATACCAGGAGTTCCAGATCTGAATGTATATCTTAAATAGACTTTAGCTAGTTGTCTAGCAAAGGTGAAATGACAAGAAGACTAGCATGAAGAGAGATTCAGAAAAGCAAAATTAAAAATTAATGAAAACTAGGATAAACTAGAATTAAAAGAAGAAAAAGAAAAGAAAGAAAAAGACAGTAAAACTGAGATAAAGTAGAAATGCCAATGTCTTCAAAGGAAAAGAAAGAAATCTTATTGCTAATTAAGAATCTTTTCATTCCAAACATAGAATTTGTCAAACCAAATGAACTCTCCCCTGGAGGAGGAGTCTTGTTTACTTGCGGCATCATGAGTTGCTTGCTTTCTGAACAATTGCTCAACCATGTCAGGCGGCAGATTTCACTTCCCCGGATCATTAGCACAGATCAGGAGTTGTTCTTGTTTTTTTTTCCCCCCCAATATCACAGATCATTTGATCTTTTAAGCTCCAATGTCTCCCTTATTTCAACACTTACAGGAATATGTTTGTTGTTCAGAAAATTATAAAATTGATATAAGGGACAAGACTCTGAATGCATGTTTAGGGTGCTATAAGGCCTGTTGTCACTTCGCCATCTAGAAATTTGCTAGTTGCTTACTCATTTGCAAGCTCCCATTTTCTTTTTTTTTTTTTTTTTTCCACTCAAAAGCCTGTAGTTTTCACTCTATTTCCACAAGAACATATACATTGAAAGCATGACTTAGAACATTTAGCAACTCCCAGTACCCAACAACAGATACTTCTTTTCATTAAAAAGGTCTAAAAGTATGGTATTCTTATACAAAAACCCATGTAAAGTATTCTAGACAACAAAAGTTCCCATTTTCTACCAAGAACTTCCTTTTTAATTATTAGGTGAAGCAATCAGTCTGTTTTTCTTTCTTTTGTTAATTTTTACCTTCTGTCTCCTTATCTTGCAGTGGTTTGTTCCTACATGTCTAAGCATGTGTACAAAGACTTAGATACAAAGATATTCACTGATAAGCTTCTTCTAGTAGAGGAAAACTAGAAATAACCTTCACGTCCACAGTATACAGGACTGTTTAATAAAGGGACAAATCTACATGTAATATACTATATCACTGCTCAAAATTATATAGTAAATGAATATTCAGTGTGTGTGGATGGATGGATGGATAGATAGATAGATAGATAGATAGATAGATAGATAGATAGATAGTAGTTTACATAGTTATATATTCTAATTTCCTACATTGAAAATGTATTACTTTTTAATAATTTTTCATGTTTGGAATGATTGAAAAATACTCCTTAAATAAACCTCCAGTAAAGATTATTTCCTAAAATATCTAACTGTACCATGGGTTTCTTTGATTTGGAGATGAAATATGGAACACTATACTAGGCTCAAGTGCTTAATAAACATTAGATTCCTGGGCTGCAGAGATGGCTCAGTGGTTAAGGGCACTGGCTACCCTCACAGAGAACCTGAGTTCAGATCCCAGCACCCACATGGTGGGTAACAACTGTACATAACTCCAGTTTCAGGGGATCCAAAGCCCTCCTCTGTCCTCTACTGGCACTGCAGGACATGAGTGCATAACTCACTAAATAAATAAATAAATAAATAAATAAATAAATAAATAAATAAATAAATAAATTCCATACACACACCTTTACCTCATCAACTGCTATACAAAGGATAGTGAATACCCCAAACAGTATTGGACCAAAAGAGACTTATGAGGGCCACATTCTCCAGGCTTAATTTTTGCACACAGCAATGACAATTGGTGAAAGACTCAAAAGAGTCAGGCATGGTGTTGTCCTCCTGTAATCCCAGCACCCAGCAGGCAGGAGGCAGGGGCAGGAGGAGCCTGAATACAAGGACAGCCTGGGCTACATAGCAAGACCATGTCGGGGGGAGAGGAGAGGAGAGGAGAGGAGAGGAGAGAGAGAGAGAGAGAGAGATTATATGAAATGACCGAGTTTGAGACTGATCAGTGTGGGCTTTGCATATTGGTTCTATGTGTCTGTGTCTGTGTCTGTGTGTTTCTATCTTATTTTTTGAGACAGGGTCTCTTACTGAACCTGAAGCTCACCAGTTTGGCTGTACTGGTGATCAGATAGCCCCCACAATCCTACTGTTTCCACCTCCAGTGCTGGGATTATAAATTTTGGGTTTTTTTAGTGTGGATGCTTGGATCTGAACTCATGCTTGGATGACAAGCACTTTACCAACTGAGCTATCTCCCCAAGCTCCCTATGCATTAGCTTTTTAAATTTATTTTATGTGTATGAGTGGTATGCCTGCATGTCTATAAGTGTACCCATGTTGTGTAGTGCCTGAGGAAGTCAGAAGAGGGCATTAGATCCCCTGGAACTGGAGTTGTACACAGTTTGTTCTAGTTTGCCTTCATTGCTGTGACAAAGCACTCTGACCTATACCAACTTGGGGGGGACAGGGTTTATTTAGCTTATATTTCCTGGGTCACACACAGTTCATCACTGAGGGAGTCCAAGGTAGGAGCTCAGGGCAGGAACCTGGAGGCAGGAGCTGAATCACAGGCCATGGAGGAAATGCTGCTTACTGACTTGCTTCTCTGGCCCATGCTCAGACTGCTTTCTTAAACAATGCAGAACAACTTGCCCAGGGGTGGCACCATGGGCTGGGCCCTCCCATATTATGACTCAGGAATCAAGAAAATACCCCACAGACATGGCCACAGGCCAGTCATTTCCCCAACTGAGGCTCCCTCAACCCAGGTTTATCAAGTTGACAACTAAAGCCTTTCAGCACATGGTTATGCTGGGATTCAAACCCGGGTCCTCTGCAAGAGCAGCCATTGCTCTTAACCACCAAGCCATATCTCCAGCCCCTTGCATTAGCTTTTAGGAAGAATGTATGTCCAAGTTTAGCCATTTTATTTACAAAGAAGAGCATCTAAAACTGTATCTGCAAGTTTAATGGTTAAAAGTACAGTATCTTAGAGACTGAAGAGGTTCAACAGTTAAGAGCCCTTTCTGCTCTTCCAAAGAACCTGAGTTCACCTCCCAGCACCCATGTGGCTCACAACAGCTTATAACTTCAGCTGCAGGCAATCCAGTGCCCTCCACTGGCACTCCATGCACATAGTGTGCGTGTATACATGTAGACAAAACACAAAAAAAAATTTAAGTACTATAGCTAGTACTGTGCTGCCACAGGCCTTTAATCCCAGCACTAGGGAAGCAGAAGCAGGTAGATCTCTAATATCAAGGCTAGCCTGATCTACATAGTGAATTCTAGGCCAACTGGAGTTACAGGGAGACCCTGTCTCAAAAATCCAAAATAGGGGCTGGAGAGATGGCTCAGAGGTTAAGAACAATGGTTGTTCGGTTGTTCTTGCAGAAGACCCAGGTTCAAATCCCAGCACCCACAAGGCAGCTAACAACTGTCCATAACTCCACTCCCAGGGGATCTGACAGCCTCTTCTGACCTCCGTGAGCATTGCACAACATGGGTACATTTACCTACATGCAGGCAATACACACATATACATAAAATAAAAATAAAACTTTTTTTTAAAATCCAAAGTAAAAGGACTTTATCTTAGAGAACAGAAATAACAGTAACTAAAGAGAAATTATAATTTATTAGTCAAAGCATATGCCTAATCTCTATAATTGTTTATGCTTCCTCTAGAAGTTACTTCCTGCTGTTTTCCGGAGAAAACTTGAATTTATTTTTCTGTCAGAAGACCTCCCAGGTGACATTCCAGAGGACATCCTCAAGGTGAGAGAGAACTGAAGCCATCTGTGCTGTCACTCAACAAGGTCAACTTTCAGGGACCCAGGGGAGTCAGGACTCTAAGATGTTGGCTGTCCTTTGTTTTCAGAGAAGGCAGGATAGAGGCCCCTCTGAGGGGAGTTTAGAGTGAGTATCAACTTACCTGATTTTAGAATTCTGGAAGTACCTTGTCTAGCAGTACTAAGTATAGATGGCAATTTTTTTTTTCATTTCACCTAGAAAGAACAATTTGGATTTAATTTAATTTTGTACAGTAGATGATAGTGAATTTGAGGGGAGAAGGGAACTAATATTTGATGAATGTGTTTTCTATGACAGACACACTGAGTGGTTTTTTTATAGGTAATCTTCACAACAACCTTCTGGGGGCAGATTCTAAGTAAATATTATCTGTGTCTGTGCCCATATGGTTGTACATGCCTATAATCTGAGCATTCAAGAGTTTGAGACCAGCCTAAGGTACATAGCAAGAATCTATCCCTGTCTCGATCCCGAAGAAAAGGTTACCTATAGAGATATAGATGCCTCCACCCTGCAGAAAATAGTTACAGACAGATAGCTAGATGAGCAAGTATGTATCAGTTGCTTCTTAAGACCCTGTCCACCATGGACACAAGCAACTTGGGGAGGGAAGGGTTTCTTTCACTTAACACTTCTAGTTTTCAGTCCATTTTTGAGGGAATCCCAGGGAGGAACTCAAGGCAGGAACCTGGAGACAGGAACCGAAGCAGAGACTGTGGAGGAGAACTACTTACTGGCTTTTTCCCCCTGGCTTACTCAGATACTTTTTTTGTTTGTTTGTTTTTGTTTTTCTTTTTCTTTTTTTTTCAGACAGGGTCTCCCTATAGCCCCACCTGGCCTGGAACTCCCTATGTAGACCAGGCTGACCTTGAACTCACAGAGATCCACATGCCTCTGCCTCCCAAGTGCTAGGACTAAAGGATTTTATTTTATTTCTAGTTTTTTTTTTTTTTCTCAGTTACTTTTCTTATACAACCCAGGCCCACCTGCTCAGGGATGGCACCACCCACAGTAGGCTGGCCCTCCTAAATCAATCAGCAATTAAGAAAATCCCTCATAGACACGCCCATAGGCCAGTCTGATGGAGGAAATTCCTCAATTGAGGTTCCCTCTTTCCAGGTAACTCTAGTTTGTGTCAGGTTGGTGAAAAACTAACCAGCACAGATTTAATACTTCTTTATTTTTTGTAATACTAGGATCAAACCCAGAGTCTTGCACATTCAAGACACTCTATCATTGATCCATACTCCAGCCCATTATTTATTTTCTTAAACCCTTGCTACCAGTTAAGACATATTTATGGTTGGACTTGTATTAGTTCAAGGATTCATAGTCTTGCAGTTCTTGAAGAGTAATCCTGTCTATAGGTATGGGAAATAACCTACTTCCCCACCCCAACCCCTTTCTCCTTCAGTCTTACTATATAAACAAACTATAGAAGCTCTTGCTTTCAAGGAGTAACAATCTAGTTGGGGAGGCAGAACTAATACACATTTGAGACAATTACATAATAAACCATGTACTCATTTTTACTTGTTTTGAAGTTGTACGATTGGAAGCATTAGTGAAATACTTTGGGCTGGTTTCTGTTGCTTGACTGAATACCACACACTGGATAATTTTCAAAACATAGAAGTTTATTTGGTTCATTTCTGGACACTTGGAAAAAGAACATGACACTGGTGTCTGCTCGGCATTTGGAAGAGCCTTCTTGCTGTACCATATCACAAAGTGAGATATGATAGGTGTGCTAGCCCCGGTCACTCTCCTCTTCTTATAAAGCTGCTGTTATGATAGAACATCCCCTTGTGATTCCACTGAACCTTATTTCCCAAAGGCTCAATTTCCAAATACCATTAACCCATGAAATTGAGGATTAAGAACTTTTTTGTTACTGTTATTTTGTTCTTTGAGACAGACTTTTGTCATATAGCCTAGGCTGGCCTCAAATTCTAATTGTCCTGCCTCAGCCACCTAAGTACTGGGATTACAGATATGTGTCACATGCCTGGCTATTAACACATGAACTATTAAAAACATGTGCAAACCACAGCAGAAAAGATTTGTGGAAGGATGAAAAAAAGGACTATACCTTAAAACATGGATAGAATTTTGGAATTTTGATCGGGATTTAAAACCTGATATGTAGCACTCATGTAGTGGCACATGTCTCCCAGCACTCAGGAGACAGAGGTAGGCAGATCTCTGTGAGTTCCAGGCCAGCCAGGGCTATGCAGAGGCTCTCAAAAAACAAACAAAAACACAAACAAAAAGTTGATAATGTAATATTCTTTTTCTAAAAGCAAATTTAAATGCCTTTAGCTGGGATAATATCTTACCTAACTAGTCTATAAATTCATAGTCCTTAATTTAGGTCATCAGTATATACTGTGGGGACAGTGAGGTAGGACTATCTTGATCACGAAAGACTTGGTAATTGAGCTGATCTCTGTTAAACTTGGTCTCATTTGTAAGATGGGGATAACTGTAGTGTCTTTTATTATAAAGATTGGTTCGATTCTTGTGTAAAGGGCCTAGAATAGTGTCTGGCACATAGTAACGCCTATAAAAGGCATTACTACATCAAGGCAAGTAATAACATTCTGGGTGACCATCTCCAGCACTCTCTTTATCTTCCATTTAGGAGCTATATGAGACCTTAGCACAAGACCCAGTGGGCTATGTGCCTGATGGAAGTCAGAGAGGAGAGAACTGGAGCCCTCAGCTCAGCTCTGAAGCTATCTCTGTGCTCTGGGATATTCTAAAGCAAGCTCCCCAACCAGCCCAGACCCTGTTGGAACTTCTGCTTGAGGAGTGCCATGGCCCCAGCCTCTGTCACAGGCCTTTGCAGAAGACACTGGTGGACCTCATTCGAAAGGCATTGCAGACTCTGCAGGACCCTGCCTCTCAGCCCCCTGGGGTGGTTGATGCCATCTATGGAGGCCTGAGAACTCTGCATTGCACTGTAGAGCCACCCGAGGTCGACTGGCATGTGCTGTGCGAAGAATTGTTAGAGACCTGCAGAACAGAGGGGAGTCCTCTGCAAGAGGAACGTCTGCTTGGTTGCTTGTTGCACAAGGCAGGGCATAATCTGCTGTCCCTCTATGGCCATACCTACACAGAGAAGTTGACAGAAAAGCCACCAAAGGACACACTTTCAGGAAAAGGTGTGTTCCTTTTGCTGTTTCTCCTTGTGTTTTGATAATTCCAATACGTCCAGCCCCTCTGAAGATCTGGACTGATACTATACTTTCATGTTGTCCAAGACACCAAATGGAGAGACTAAGCAAAACATGGGTAACGTGGGTTTTGTTGTTGCTTGTTTTTTAATCCAGTGCTTTTCTAGTATAAAACAGGTGATAAGATGGGCTGGAGAGAGGGCTCAGTGGTTAAGAGCACTAGCTACTCTTGCAGAGGACCCAGGTTTGAGTCCCAGCACCTACATGGCAGCTAACGACTGTCTGTAACTCCAGTTCCAGGGGATATGGTGCCTTCTTCTGACCTCTGAAGGCATTGCATAACATGGGTGCACTTATACACATGTAGGCAATACACTCATACACATAAAATTTAAATTTAATTTTTTTTTAAAAAGGTGATAAAAGAAGAAATAATAGGGCTGAAGCATTAGCTCAATGGTTAAGAGCACTGACTGCTCTTGCAGAGGACCTGAGTTCAGTTCTCAGCACTTACATGGCTGCTCACAACCTTCTGTAATTCCAGTTCCAGGGAATCTGACACCCTCTTCTGGCCCCAGTGGGCACTGTATGCACCTGGTGCAACAAGCAAACACTCAACACATAAAAACAAATATTTTAAAAAAGAAAAGAACAGGAGCAGGATAGAACTCTGCCAAAGGTACTGAGAGAAGTAAAGTATCAAAACTATAAAAGATAAAATGTAAATAATCTGATTAAATCTGACGGCTTGGTGGGTAAAGGCACTTGCCACACTAGGCTCATGACCTGAGTTCAAGCCCCAGGACCCATATAAAGGTAGAAGGATAGAACCAACTCCATAGAGTTGTCCTATGACTTCCATATTATACACACACACACAATAATAATAAAAAAATTTTTATAAATAATTTTTTTAAATAAATAAAAGCCTACTCTCAAATCAATTGCTTTTCTGCACGGGCTCTGGCATAGGAAAGAGGAGTTCTTTATTTTGCTTTAACCCTGTCTGGTTTGATGTCCAGTCTCCCCAGATCATCCAGAGCCTGAAAAGGCAATGCTGACCCTGTTTTCCACTCCTGACCCAGCTGAAGCTTGGAAAATGGCCTTTTTCTACTGCCTGAGCAACAACAAACACTTCCTAGAGCAGATCTTGGTAAGTCAAGCTTAATATTGTCCATCATGGAAGGCCTCAGAACTCTCCCAGGGCTTCTCCATTTTCATTTCTCTCCCACTTATGTATCCGACACATGTAGTCTATTTAATGCAAGTCATCTGGTTGTCATCCCTCAGTCCCTGGAGAGGGGCCTCTGAGAATTCATACCATTTATAATTAAAATTGTAATTGCCCTTATGTTGGACCTTTGGTAGTAAGTAGGATGTTGGATATGTGTCAGCTTTCTGGAAGATGTGGAAAGAAAAGGCCATGGCAGCAATACAAGGGAAATTTAATTAATCTTTTCCTTCCAAATTGCAACTGAACTTCATTTACTTCAGCAGATGTTTATGAATCCTATCTTATAGGCCATGGCTGTGCTGAGGAGCTAGGATTACAGCAAAAGTCATTTCCTGACTTCAAAATGCTTCATTGCTGCCTATGATAACCTTTTTTGGCCCACAGGTAACAGCACTAACCCTGTTGAAGGAAAATGACTTCCCAAGCCTTGACTGCCTGCTTGATAGAGAATTCAGGCCTCTCAGTCAGTTGCTCGTGCTCCTGGGCTGGACACACTGCCAGAGCCTTGAGTCTGCGAAAAGACTGCTCCAAACCCTCCACAGGACCCAGGTAGCTCTCATTCAGCCCCGTAGACTACTGCAAAAGTGAGTGTTATGGTGCTTTAGGCCTAAACAGAGTTCAGAGTCCCAAGGTTGGTAACAGTCTCTGATGTCCAGTGCCTGAATTAGCATCTGTTTCTTCTGTATCGATGTAGGACCAAGGCCATGATGAGCTGCTCAGGGATGCCTGTGAAGGACTGTGGGCTCACTTGGAGGTCCTGGAGTGGTGTGTACAGCAGAGCAGGTATGACCTTGTCTGGTCAGTCCCCTTCCCATCCCACCCTTGGGCACATTCAACCCTCTGATCCACATGTGTAGCCATTTCGAAATATCTTTTGCCATTGAGTTGATTGTGTTGGCCAGACACAAATAATTGTTCCAGCTAGCAGACCAGGGGTCAGAGGAAACATAAGTAATGATTAACGTCTCCATTTTTGACTATTAGGTCACAACCAAGGAATACTTTCAGAGTAACAATAACGAAAAAACCAGTAGTAAGTCACAATTCCTAGACATGTACTACAGGCCAGGCATTACTATAAGCCCTTTACATGGATGCTTAATCCTCACAACAGTCCTGTGAAGTTGATACCTGAAACACTGAAGCCCAAAGCTGTGAAATAATTTGCTCAGAGTTACACAGCAAGTAAATGTCATCTATACTCTTAGTTATATGTTATCCTGGATCACATGTTCTTCAAAAAAATGTTCATTGAAGTGTATGTGAAGCTTCGTAGTTCCCGATAATTTAGTCTAGATCTGGGTTCTGCTCTTGTTCTTTGCTTACCTCACTAGCACTTCCAAAAGTAAAGTAGGCAGAGGGGGGACACACAACGGTGCTGTTATTTAAAATACAGAGAGACTCATTTCAAAGCTATAGAAAACAGAGAAAGTAGAAAATTCAATCTTCAGGCCCTCCTTAGACCCAACTGACTAGAAAGGCCCTTTCCAGGTTTTTAGACAGAGTTAACTTAGTGGATATACTTCCCTCAGGATGAATAAATGATATGCTTTAATCCCAGACTGACTAAAATGTAAAACCTATAGTATTTTAGGCCAGAGAAGAGGAACAAGAGGAAACAGCTGGTATTTCTGCGGGGCAATAATATAAACTGCCTCCCCTTCCGTCCTTCCAACTTTCCCTTTCAGCAGCCCCATACCAAAGAGAGATCTCTTATGTCATTTACATGGTGGAGACAGCCACTCAGTGCTCTACTCTCTCCATCACCTTACAAACCTTCCAGCACTCAGGGAGGAAGAGGTTCTCAAGCTCTTACAGAAGGTGCCAGCCAAGGACCTCCAGCAAGAGCATGGTGAGTGGGCAGTTGCACAGTTTGGCTGGGATTCCCCCTTAGAACAGTCTTGCACAGGTTTCTTCCAGTACGAGATGTATCCAGATGTGATTGCTGGGATATTTGTCGAGAGGTTGGTAGAGCGTGTGTCGCCTGAATTATTGGTGTTTGCCCCCATCCAATTATAGGATGTAGTAGCATCCCTCTCCTTTCCTGGGGAGGCGTGAGGAACTCCATGGACATGTTCCCACATCCTTCCTCCTGTGGAATCATGTCAGGAACCACTGGCACACACTAATGTCAATTAAGCAGAGTTGTGAAGTGCCTACTCTATCTACAGCATTGTCTTTGTCAGTTTGGTGGAAATTCTTAGCGAGTGGCTTCATGCTCCATAAGCTTCCTCACAACACACTTTATGCCCTCCCTCCTGCCTGCCCAAGCCTCCTTCAAACGCCATTGAACAAGTCAAGAAGTTTGGAGGAGAGACTTTCCAGAAACAATAACAAAGCTTCATTTTGACCTTTGATTTTTGCTTAAAGTTCAAAACTATTAACAAGCTCTTTCCTTTTTGCTGTCAAAAATCATCACCACAACCTGTCCCAAAGGTCAGGGACATTTGCATTAGAGGGAAACGGTCTTTACCATCTGGCAATAGATG